CAGACACCCCCACCTTGCTTCCCTGGGCTCCGATGCCCCTCCTGTGGGCCTGGGACCAGCATGTCAGGTGTCGACAGGAAGCGGGCTCCTCATTATACGAGACCAGAAGCAACGCTGATTGCACTCCGGGCCCTCAGCTGTCATTGCGCGGCTGCAGAGGCCAGGTAATAAGCTATTGGGGCGCGATATGTGGGCCAAAAGTTTATTCGAAGTAGAAAAGGTTCTAACTGACCCCTAATATCACCTTAAAGAGAACCTGTCACCATTTGTATGCCATCACACAGGGGGCTTGTAAGACCCCTTATGTGATGGTAATTAAAAGATAACTATGGGGTAAGTGTCTTTCCCCATAATTCTCTTTAGGGTCACGGGAGAACGTATACTAACCTGCTCTCGTGACTCGAAGCTCAGTATATAGCGGGCTATTAAACCAAAACTTTTCAGGCGGTTCAATACTATGAAAACACATGTATATCATAAAATATTTTTTTTATTCTCTACAGTAAATATAAATATATATAGTTATTATAATTTTTTAATTCTATAAATTTTAATTATACATATACACACACATATGCATATATAGTATGATGTGTGTGCTTGCACAATAAAACAAATGCGGTCCCCTCCCCCCTCTCCACTCCTGTTCTTCAGGCTTAGGCCTGGAGCTATGGGCTGGAGGTTAGTCCAGATCTGATTAGAGGTTGTGAAAATCCCTAAATGTGGCTCATTATTCGGAGATCAGGTAAAAGCCGCAAAAGGCTGATGACAACTAAACACTGCGTGACTGAGCTTATCACCTTCCCCGGGAATATACCTTTGTGTGCCAATACCCATCATGGCAGAAAGCGCCAGTATTAAATCCCGACTCCACCCAAAACTTTATATTGTAGATTTGGTTCTGCCAAGTGTTAACCGGTCCTCGTGTCTCCACGCAGGAAACTTGCAATCACCTGGGACAGGAAGTGATGGAAAATTACATTTAAAGTGTATCTAAGGCTGGGTTCCCACCTAGGCGGTTTTCCGCGCTTTCGTACTCGCGGAAAACCGCTCAAGGAGGGAAATGCCATTATTTTCAATGTGTATGGTTCCCATCTGTGCGGTTTTCCGCGAGTACGAACGCGCGGGAAACCGCCCTACGCCCAAAGAAGTACATGTACTTCTTTGGGGCGTTTTGGTCGGGGCGGTTCCATTGGGATACAGACAAGTATCGCGGTATCACGAATCGCGGTAAAAAAAACACGCGGAAAACGCGCATATTCAATCCGCCCAGGTGGGAACCCAGAGTAAAGCTTACTTTTTAGTTTAGGATATAGCGGGGGGGGTTGGTGAGAACCTTTGTCAGGTGTCTGTGGCCTGACTGGAGAGGTTCAGTCTCTACATTTGGCCTGAAGACCACCAAATTTTTTTCAATGGAGCTGGTCTGAAAATTATCGGTCAAACAGATCCAATCACTGGGTATGGGTCAGCTGTGATTCCTCCATCCACGCCATTTAGCATCAATGTGCTTCTCTCATTGAGCCTGCGGGGCTGATGGAGAGAAATGCGTAGCAGGTACGGCCAAGCTTTAGCCTCCATTCACACCGGGGAGTATCGTGAACGCACAAAAGTGCGCACTTTGACGAGCGTTCATGAAATGCACACAAACGCGGAGTTAATGGCACCCCAAAGTTGATTGAGCAACGCATTTTTTCCTGCCCGCTTGAGAACGCGCACCTCATGACGCAGAATTTGCTACATGTACTACATTCCTGCATCTGGTGCACATTAAGGAAGCCACTGAAATCAATGGGGACGAGCACTAAATGGGGAAACAAATGCGTACACACACACACGGGAACGTGTCTGTGTGTGTAAATGGGGGGCTTAGGTAGACAGGAATAAGCAATCCAAATTGTTACAGTTGTCACCAGAACAGGAAGTGAGGGGAAATCTTCCCAAGGGGACATGTCGAGGAGGGGATTTCCCTCACTGCTGGTCATACTGGGGTAGATTTTCATGCAAACTCTCATACAAAAAAATCTCATTGGAACATCCGATAACGGATCCAGAACGGACATAAGAGACTTGTAGAATTCCATTCCAAATTTATTTTTATTTTAACATTTGATTTTGGAATGAATGGAGTTTCTTGAACCAAAACCACAATCACTGTTAGGCTTCCGTTCAAGAAATGTTTCCTCCTGCTTCTTCAAACTTTTCGTCATCAGGGTAGAGATCAATTGTCGTTTTGACCCCATGAACTATTAGAAACATTTAGTGATTAGAACCAATCAGGGGCGTCTGGAGGCCGGGTGTTACCCAGAGCGGATACCGGGTGACACCCCGCCATCACGCATGTGCGTGATATCACTGCACTCGTGCATGTGACGGCATCACGCATGCGTGGCCATCTATGTGATGGACGCCGGCAGAGAGAGGAGTCCCCTCCTTTCTCCTTTAACTGTCGGGCTCTCAGTCCATGACCACGTGCCTGACTTTTCAGAGGGGGTGACACCAAAATGACTGTCATCTTAGTGTCACCCCTCCAATGGTGTCACCCGGACGCGGCCTGTACCCCCCTTGTGACGCCACTGGCACCAATATTAGTATCGGTGCCGATACCGTATTTGAGCAAATACTCGCACTCACCCAAATGCTCCAATACCTTTCCCTGATAACGGAACTGATAAAGGAAATCTCCCTCTGACCGGCAGGGCCACGAGGTAACAAGGAAGCCGGGCAGCCGTCTCCATGCTGATTGGCTGGGAAGTCGGCTTCTCCGCCAATGAGCATCGAGGTGGCCAAACGTGTCATTACCTCCCGCCCGGCTTCTTGATTGCCAGGGAAGCCAGCTTCATGTTAGCGGAAGTACCGGTATCAGCGAGTACCAAAATATAAAATATCAGTACGCGTACTCGATACCGAAAAACTGTATCGGTGCATCCCTAACCAATAGGGTGTTCCCTCCAGACATGGCTTCAGCCAGGCCAGGTGTTCTGCTATGCTATAGGGGTATTTATGACGGCTTCAGGGGATTCTTCTGGGTTTTGTTTTTTTTTAAGTTGAAGTATAAACAAACAATATATCCAACTTATAGGCCTCATTCACACACAACGCAAGCAAAATTGTATATTGCGTATGAACGCGTCTCTGCGCGTATATACGTGCGTATACGAGCGTATATGCGTGCACTATATGCAATCCCAGAATGCATCACTCGTAATGGAATTTTTAATGTGCTGTACGCATGTAAACACGCGTATATGCACGTAAATACGCAGAAATACACTGCCCGGACGCATCTCTGTTCCATTCTGTTTTTGCGCATATATATGCAACGCAAATATACGGCTCTATACGCGGCTGTGTGTATGGAGCCATTTATTTGCATTTGGTACAATACGCACGTACGCGCGCATACGTGCGGCAGTGTGAATGAGGCCATAAAGACATCAGAGAATACTTCCGTTGTAAACATGGTTTAGTTTCAAAACATATCAGATCACTAGAAAAACATTTGAAAGAAATCCAGAGGCAGCAACAATAAATAAAATGCACCCACATTAGGGGGGACTTGGGGACATTGCCCCTATTACTAGCCTGCTAGGGAGGGGGTGATGGGCCAGCACAGGTTATGTCTATCCTAATAAGGTTTGAGGAGGAGGGAGGGCTTGAAGGGGGACTGCATTAGCCCTAAGATTATCCTAATTGGGTTTGAGGGGACTGCACTGCCCGTGTCTGTCCGAGTTGGGAATGAGGAAACTGCATAGCCTCTATGTCTATCCTAGTTGGTAGGGGGGGCCTATTCTGCGCCTATGTTTTTCCTAGTTGGATAGGGGGAACTCTATAGCCATTCCTATTTGGGGGAGACGCTGCACTGCCCCCATGTCTTTCCTAGTTGGGGGGGACATTGCACTGCCCCATGTCTTTTCTAGTTGGGGGGAGACACTGCACTGCCCCATGTCTTTCCTAGTTGGGGGGAGACGCTGCACTGCCCCCATGTCTTTGCTAGTTGGGGGGGGGACTGCACCGCCTCTATGTCTGGGGAGTACTGCATTACTCCTACAACTAACCCTGCAGGGTGAGGGAGGGCTGCATTGCCCCTATAACTACCCTATGTGCCTATTGGTGAGGGAGAATGCCACTCACAACTACCCTAGTGGTGGGGAGGGCTGTACTGCCCCAGCTCCTACAGCTATGCAAGTGTGGGGTGGCAGAAGGATGGCATTACTTCTAAAACCGATTCGTTTTGGAAGGGGGGTAGCACTGCCACTTGAACTGCAACCTAGTCACACTTACCCTTCAGTGGAGGGTAGAAGGTCCACACTGCTCTATAACTACCCTAGTGGGTGGGATTTCATTGCCCCCAAAACTACCCCAGTAGAGAGGGGATTTTACCACCCCCCACAACTACCCCTCGCACGGTACTGTGTGATTGACGCACGCTATCACACAACACACCCGTGTGTTACAGTGCAGCAGGTATGTTGCATTACTTAATGGCACCCCAATGCACCTCCCAGCCACAATGCGCTGCTACGCACGGTACCCCAATACTATGCACTACTTTTTTCCACCACACCAACACGATACCGCAATACTGGTGCCACGCGAGAAAACGCACACCCAGTCAGCAAGGATAACTTGCCACAAATGTGTGGCAGGGTTAAATTACAATTCTTGTTAGCTTGCTGCACACATTCCCCTGACAAGCTGTAGACTTGCAGAACAAGTTCTAGTTGACGCTATTTGAATTTGTAGCAAATTTGCTTGTCAAGTCTACAGCAAGAGTCCTGCATGTCTGCAAGTTTATAGCACATTGATCTGGAGACTCGCAATGCAGACTTGCTGTAATTGTACAACAAAATTGTGAAGCTTGGCAAGCCTGCAATAGTTTAGCAAGTCATTTTATAACTTGCTGCTCAATTGCTTGCTATCTGGGAGCAGTGTTCAAAGAGTTAAAAAGCCCTCTATCTACCCCTGGTTATAATACTCCCATGTCAGCTCTGTTCACTTACCGGCTGCGGTGGGGTACCTATTAACATCTCCAGGTAGTACCCCCTCCCAGAGTCCCCCTCCAGGTTGTTCACCATGGTCATGAAGTTGATCTTGCCACTGGGATCTGAAGCCAGAGCCAGCCCCATGATGTCCTTGGCAGTGGTGGTAGACACAGACTGGGGCTGGCTGACCAGGGCAGGAGAGATCCGGAGGGGGATAGAGAACATGGTCCGGGCACCTCCCAGCAGTGCCAGCAGGGTGAGGGTCTGCAGTGCCCCCCTCATTGTACACCTTCCACTAGAGAGCCCGCATGACTACCCAGCACACAAAGCCCAACTCTGGGAAGGGCGAGCAGTTCTGGCCTCGGGCTACACAAACGGATATGGCAGGGAGGAGTTTGCTGGAAAACTTTTTACAAAGTTACAAAGTCCCGAAGTCTGAGCTGAGAGCGGAGTGTGCGAGCGCCCCCTGCTGGCGGATCACCCGAACTGCAGGCAGCACAGCGAACAGAGACGAACTAAATGGAAATGTCTCTGTTATCCAACCGGAGACATTTCCAGGCGGCCTCCCCTACCTCCAACCGGAGAGATTTCCAGGAGGCTTCCCCTACTTCCAACCGGAGAGATTTCCAGGAGGCTTCCCCTACTTCCAACCGGAGAGATTTCCAGGAGGCTTCCCCTACTTCCAACCGGAGAGATTTCCAGATGGCTTCCTCTACTTCCAACCGGAGAGATTTCCAGACGGCTTCCCCTACTTCCAACCGGAGACATTTCCAGGCGCCTTCCCCTACCTCCAACCGGAGAGATTTTCAGGAGACTTCCCCTACATCCAACCGGAGAGATTTCCAGGAGGCTTCCCCTACCTCCAACCATAGAGATTTCCATCAGGCTTCCCTTACTTCCAACCGGAGAGATTTCCAGGCGGCTTCCCCTACTTCCAACCGGAGAGATTGCCAGGCGGCTTCCCCTACTTCCAACCGGAGACATTTCCAGACGGCTTCCCCTGCTTCCAACCTGAGACATTTCCAGGCAGCTTCCCCTGCTTTCAACACGAGAGATTTCCAGGCGGCTTCCCCTACTTCCAACCGGAGAGATTTCCAGACGGCTTCCCCTTCTTCCAAACGGAGTGATTTCCAAGCCGCTTCCCCTACTTCCAAACGGAGATATTTCCAGGCGGCTTCCCCTTCTTCAAACCGGAGATATTTCCAGGCGCCTTCCCCTACTTCCAAACGGAGTGATTTCCAGGCAGCTTCCCCTACTTCCAACCGGAGAGATTTCCAGGCAGCTTCCCCTACTTCCAACTGGAGTGATTTCCAGGCCGCTTCCCCTACTTCCAACCGGAGATATTTTCAGGCCGATTCCCCTACTTCCAACCGGAGAGATTTCCAGGCAGCTTCCCCTACTTCCAACTGGAGTGATTTCCAGGCCGCTTCCCCTACTTCCAACCGGAGAGATTTCCAGGCAGCTTCCCCTACTTCCAACCGGAGAGATTTTCAGGCCGATCCCCCTACTTCAACCGGAGAGATTTCCAGGCAGCTTCCCCTACTTCCAACTGGAGTGATTTCCAGGCCGCTTCCCCTACTTCCAACCGGAGAGATTTCCAGGCAGCTTCCCCTACTTCCAACCGGAGAGATTTTCAGGCCGATTCCCCTACTTCCAACCGGAGAGATTTTCAGGCCGATTCCCCTACTTCCAACCGGAGAGATTTTCAGGCCGCTTCCCCTACTTTCAAAGTTCATATGGACCGAATGGACCGTGATGATTGCACTCTCAATCCATAGTTGACAACTGTCCTGGATTTGCCCTGACAGTCCCTCCTTTTGCTCCCCTGTGCCCTGTGCACGGCACAATGCACCTATTGTACGTTAATAGTGCAGGAGGTGCATTGCCATTAATTTGAATGTCACCCCAAATGCAACTCCCGGTACCACTCATTGCGGCACGGTCAATCGCATTGTGGGCACTGAATGGCAACACAAAGCACCTCCCACACTGTTAACGAATGGTAGGTGCGTTGCGTGGTACTATGTGTTAATCGCATGGAACTGTGCAGCCCTGGTGTGAACCAGCCCTGAGAGATAAAGCGTAAAAATGTTAGATAATTGTTTCAGAGCTGGTGCAGACCTGAGCGATCCCGGGCTGCGCGGCCCCATTGATTACCATGAGGTTACATCTGCACGCCCATTGCTGAAAAAAGGTACATGCAACTTTTTTTGCGACACACGGCTTTTTTAGCCACAATCACAGTCGATTGCACAGGCGGAATCGCGGCAGGAAACCGCGCAATTCTCTCGGTGCGACTGGGGTGGCATTATTAAAGAATGGCACCACCAGCACGATCAGTGGTGATGTGCGACTTCGTGACCGCACAGCAATCCGCGCGGTTCCGTATCACGCAAGTGTGAACCTGGCCTTAATGAAAAGGAACGGTGCCAGAAAATATTTACAGGAAAAATACAAAACGTTAGATAATTAAATAATGCAAAATAGACAACAAGCAACAGTAAAATAAACATTACTGAAAGTGAGGAGCATGCGGCATCGTGCTGAACACAGTGCCACCCTAATTCCTTCAAAATTTGCACCTGTCAAATAATTCCTTTCAAATAATCACCTGTCTCTGACTTGGAAATTTTGAAGGTATTAGGGTGGCACTGTGTTCAGTATGACGCCCCAAGCTAATCATTCAGTTTGGGGGTCATCAGTCTACTTTATCATCACAGGAAGTTCCCTTGTTTAGTTTAATTATTTTGCACTCACCGGATGGTTAAAAGTGATTGAAATCCCCTTATGATGGCTTACATGTAGCAATCTGATTGTTTAATTTCAAATTGTTTTTGAAAGAGGATCAAGTGAAAAATCCAATATTTTCAATCAACTGATAGGCAATCAATTTGAAGAAAACCTGGATCACGCATGGTGGAAAATCCAATGGCTTTCTATCAGATTGTTTGATGCGGCTTCTGTTTTCAATCAATTTTTGTTCAGTGGCAATGACTCTTTTAAGGCTAAGTTTACTTTTCCGACCGTGCTTCATGTTACAGCCATATTCAAGGAATAACAAAAAACATGGTCACATCACAACCCCCCACCCCTTCTGCCC